TAAAAAGTTAATGAGAAAACATTACAAAATAAATAAATAAAAAAAATAAATAAATAAATAAATAAAAAAATAAAATAAATAAATAAAACGGAAAGATAACTTGTATCTGGAACCAATAAATTATAACTGTCCATTCAGGACATCCCAAGCATTTTCTATTAAATTAAGAATAAACAAAAAAAAAAAAACAAAAAACATAAATTAATTCCAATTATGGACGAATTATAAGAAATAAATCTTGTTTCAAATTTTAATACGCGTTTATATAATTATTCCTAAACTAATACTTTTTCTCTTCAAACGAAAAATATTTAAAGAACCAATCATTTTAAGATCTTCTTAATATGGCATATTTTTTTGTCTCATTCAATAAACAAGAATCAAACAAGATAATGTTTATTTAAACACAAAAAAAGAACATCTTCTTAGAATAATTTTAAGTATTACACTCTTTTGTACATTTTCAACTCAGTGAAAATTCCTTACTTATAAACCAATCGATTTAAGACAAGAATTCCGGATTTTCATCTGATTTTGTTTATAATTTAAACTTACGCGTATGTATTTTAAGTGTCACAGTGTACAAATCTGGATAATTTTTATAAGTAAAAAAATTAACCTTATCGATAAATTTATTTTTATGGTATTTATTGAATTTGGTTTAGTTAAAGTTACGCGTAGTTATCAAACGATCTGGAGTAAGATTATCTTAAAAATTAAATCGTAATATCATCCAAATCGGGGTATTGGCTTCTGTTATGTTATCGATATCAATATACATCTTTTTGTAGGGGGGTAGTCTGGGAACAATTGAACAATTGGCTAAACCTAAAATATAAAAACACGTGTTTTTATTATTATTTATCCCTTTGTCCCAATCATCCAAAAGTTGGATTTCTTTGTGAGATCACATGTTCTTCGCGTTAATGATTTACATTTCTTGTCCTTTTTATTACGTAATATAAATAAATTACTAGTTGATTTTTAATTGCCGAATATATAATACTTTTTTTTTCTTTTTTTCGTTAAAAAATTGTTGGAATATATATAAAATTTATATTTAAAAAAAAAAAAAAAAGTGGCTTTTGATCCTTTACGGATATCCCTATAAAGGTAACTAAATCCATGATTCAACCTATCCTTTTGAATTAATTAATCTCCTTATTACCAAATTTATCTCATGGTACTTACCATCGTTTTATTGGTTGAAGGTGTTAACCTTCCTCCTTAAAGAGGTTACTAAGCCAAAAAGTTTTCACTCAAAAGATTTCATTTATAATTTTTGTTCAACAAAATGGGTAGGTAATACATTATTTATTATATCGTATCACAATACTTTCGTTCTTTCTGTCTGTCTCAGCAAATAGCAAAAATGAAATTTCTCTGTTCAATGAACCTACTTTTTGTCTTTTAATTAATTATTAGGACAATTAATATAGTAAATTTAATATAAATATTTGGATGTTTAATAAACTTTATTATTAACTGATATTCAGAACTTTACTTTTTTCCATCGAATGATGTCTTATAACAAATTATATTATCGAATACAAGTTTCTATTTAATTCTTTATAATTTTGTGTTTAATTTATTAACTAAGGCAAACCGAAAAAAAAAACCTTATGATTGATCGTCAAACATTTTTTAATAATAATAATATATGCTAATTATTAATTTTATTAATTTAAAACAAAAAAAAAAAAAAATTAATAAGAACGAACTATTCGGATAAAGGATAGCATTGAGTGAAACCATGCATGTATAATTTTTGAAATAATGGGTAAATCTGGGAATTAATTGAATAATACTGTATTTCATAATTAAAATCGTAAGTTACGTTTTTTAAATAACATTTTCGTCGAAAATCTTTTTAACTATCCAGAATTTTCTTAATTTCTGCTAACATATTCTTTAAGTTATTAGTGTTATTAGTTGTTTGAAAATAATAATCTTCTTCAATCAGACCGTTTATCATCATGTATCATATAATGTCGGATTAATGTTAAGTTTTTTGGTTCAAAAAGTAATACTTCAATTGCTTCATGTCCTTATATTTAGTTATTTTGTGAAATTTTTGTGAAAAAGCATTAAATCAGTGGCGAAAAAAACATTTGTTAACCTTTAATTTATTAATATGGGAAAGGCCGCTATTCCGCATTTGTTATGAATCAGTTTTTACCAACATTACCTATTGTTCAGTACCGATTTGACCTATCTCTTATTACTTTTAAAAGGTAATAAGTTGTAATTTTCTTTCTTCTCTTTTTTTTTGAATTACAATACGTTTTTATCATGCTCAACTCATTCTTGCTATTATTTTTAATTTTAAGATACTTTTGCCAATCCAAAGCTTTTGTTCCTGTCCATTTAGAAACTGAGAAAATGGCAATGGACAAATATTATCATCAAGAAAATGCTGTATCACTAAAATAATTGAATGTTATTGAATGTTACAATGAAATAACTTCAGGGTGTAACATACAACCCTACACCACAACCCTACACATGTAACATTTAGCAAACTTTAATCTTGGTGAATGATCGTTTATAATTTAAATTTTTGTTCAACGTCATCCCTAATTAGTTTTCATTTATAAATTTGATTTTATTATAAAAACCTTTCCCCTTTCATTTAATTGATTTTGATTTTATCATAAAAAGATATGTCACTAGTAAAAAAAAAAATATCCTCTTCAACTGTAACTTATCGATTGAGAAAGGTCAACGTTAAACAGAATTTTTATGGCATTGTAAAAATAGATAAACAAATAAACAAAATTGTCCAGAACGCACTCGAATCCTTTTGTCACCCGAATTTAGAATTATAATTCCTTATCCAATTGAACCGATAAAACTGTGCCTAATGGACTAATTTATATACCTACCTTTTTAATCGTATTTCTCATTTATTTAGAAATTTAGAAACCTGTACAGTAAGATTCCGTATATACTTGATATAATTTTCCATATTGTACCCGATTTCTTTTTCATACTTGTACCCGTTAAAATTTTCGTAAAAACGAGATACTCGGAAATTTTTCCGATAAAATAAAATTCAGGACAATTATATTTAGAAAAAAGCTCTATTTATAAATAATTCTAACCTTTAAACTGTAAACGAAATACATATACTGTATATTTAAAAGACATTACGCAGAATCTTATCGGGAACTTGTTGAATATATAACAGCAGGATGTGATTATAGAATATTCCAGTCCAAAACCAGTATATATTGATTTTATGATTTAATATCGCCGTCTGCTTGATTTCCTGTAGAATCAATTTGACTATCTACCAATGAAGTATCAATTGACTAAAATCCAATTAGTTGAGGAGTTATTAATTTACTAGTCAGATTTGAACAAGTGAGACTAGCCTATATGATGAACACATATGATAATTGTCACGACATGAAAAATGAGGTTTGTTAACTGAAACATTCTAAGTTTGCATAAGTATCAAGCATTGATTGATTTAATTTATCGTCGACTTCTTTGAGATTGTTTTATACAGAATTTGATTAAAACAAAATCCGTAAAAAAAAATAATCCCAATGTTTCTGGCAACATATAATTTCCGAATTTCTTTCCAAAAATTTGCCTTTCCAGACCATATTGTTCTTCATCTTTTTGTTGCTGCACTACTAGTTCTATAAGAAAAAATTTGACGTCTAAGAAACAGTTTAATAACGAAAAATAGAACAGAATTCTAAGACTAAACGGTAATTACTGATTATATGGATAATAAAATCAAATATTAAACATTCTTCAACTTACAAAATGTGGATTATCCATTACTTTAATCAAATTAAAAGCAGCATTTATTCGGAGATTATCAGCATGTATGTAAAAAAAGAGGTCTATGTTTATATTCATTTAATTAGATCTATGAAGTAACAACCAAAATGGTAAATATTTATAGTGAATTATTTTAAAGATATTTATTTTGTCTCTACTTTCATCATACAAAAAGAAGGGATAGAAGGGTAGAAAAAAGGTAATTTATTAAAAAAAAGGTATAATTTATACCAATGATCTTTATTGTAGAAAAGTTATTACAATTCAGAGGTATGATTTTAAATTTCAACAATTTAATAGATAATTAAATAAAGCATTTAACAATGACTTCAGTTCGTCCATAGTTCAATGGTCAATTATCATATTAGTGTCTATTTATTTTGAGAGCTTTTCTTTTTTTTCCTTTTGTATAATTGTTAAATAATGCAAAAAGAAAACGTGTGATAAAAAAGTTAAAGAGATCATACATGTATGTATTTATTTAATAAGGTTTTATTACTAATAGTAAACTGTCGCAAATAAAAGTAGAGATGACGATTATAACTTTTATTGAGAGATCAATCAAGTAGTCTTGGAAGGGTAAAGTTTATGGAAGAATGCAGTCCAAATCATTTCAGAAATAAGTTGCTAATCCCTATTCGTAGAGCCACTCGGAGTTAATCCATTAGGTAGTATGCTGTATACATACTTCATATTATAATTCGCCGGATTGGATAGGAAATATCAATAAATGGATGCTCTTACAAAAGTTTATTCATTAGAAACGATCCATTAATAATATTTTTGTAGTTACCTTAGTTACCTTGAAATTCGGTTTCCAATCTATAACACCAAGATCTTCCTCAATTTTAATTCTTGCAGTATCGAACATCTTCATTGAGGTTCAATTATGGCACGCACATTTTACTTAATATTTATTACCAATATTGGATTGAAAATTTCGTTGGTCGAATATTAAGGTTTTTTTAGAGGACCTATAGACTGAGTTTCAATAAAAAAAAAAAGGTTAATCTTTCATCTGAATGGTACTCTACTCAAAATTCAACGTATCATATTTCTCGCGTTATTTTTTGATTTACCGATTAAGAAAAGATCTACAATCTAAACAAGATATAAATCTTTTTCAAAACCTTTAGACCTAAAATTGTTCAGGAAGCATTTTTTTTTTGACTAATCGAACAAACTATTGATTTATTTCAATAATGAGCAATAACCTTTCAAGCTTTGATGCATTAGTTTTGGGTGTTTATAAGGACGGTTCATTTTCTGAAACAGCATCAAAGAAGATTACTGAAAAAATACGACAAACTATTAAACAGCAGCTACAATGTGCTGGAGTTAAAGGAAAACTGGGCGAAGTAAGAGTTTTGTATGGAATTGGCAGTGAAGAAGGTTTGCCTTCACAAATTGCTGTTGTTGGTTTGGGAACTAAACCTGAAAACGAGAGAGATTCTTTGGAAAAAGCTCGTGTTGCGGTATAATACAAAAATTCTTGTCCTTTGGTCGCGTGATGAACATTTCGTTCATAAATGGTTGTTAATACATTTACAGGCTGCTGTAGGTGTTCGCACGTTGCGTAATCAAGGAGCAAAAAACATTGCAATTGATGTTATGACTAATGAACATGGTATTTTAATATCTTTTAACTTTTTTTTGTTTTTTTTTCGTTATATATATTAAAATCATTATTTCTATTAAATTAGGTGCATCTGAAGGTGCAACTCTTGCTCTTTTTAAACCGGATCGGTTAAAATCTGCTCAAAATCAAATCCCATCTGTTAAAATCTCACCATTTGGAACATTATCATCATCCGATCTTACTTGGGAAACCGGTTTAATTTACGCAAATGCTCAAAATTTCGCTCGTACATTAGGAAATTCTCCGGCGAATCATATGACACCAACTATCTTTACTGAAAATGCAAAATCTGTATTAAAAGATCTTCCCAATATTGAAGTTATTGTTAGAGATAGAGATTGGGTTGAAGGAAAAAAAATGGGATCTTTTCTATCTGTTGCTAATGGTTCAGACGAACCTTTAAAGTTTTTGGAAATTCATTATAGAGGTGGAAAAGACGGCGATAAACCTCTGGCTTTAGTTGGAAAAGGTATTATTTTATTTGGGCTTTTTTTGTTTAAAATAAAATTACTAAAATAATATTTTATTTAGGCATTACATTTGATTCGTAAGTTTTTATTATTCTTTTAGATTGTTTATATTAAGTTTATTTTATAAAAATTTCCTGTCCTATGAAAAAAGTGGTGGAATTTCATTGAAATTCCCCGCAGGCATGTCTGAAATGAAAATAGATATGGGTGGCGGTGCAGCAGTAACGGCTGCATTGTATGGAATAGCAAAACTCGAATTGCCAATCAACGTGGTTGTAACTGTTCCTTTATGTGAGAATTTACCTTCCGGTCATGCAACAAAACCAGGAGATGTTGTCGTTGCCATGAATGGTAAATCCATTGAGGTATGATACTCTCGAATTCATTTGATCTAAATTGAGATGTACAATTCATATGAGTTTATTTATAATTTAGGTTGATAACACAGACGCTGAAGGACGTTTGATCTTGGCTGATGCATTATACTATACAAGTTCGACGTTTCAACCACACAGTCTTATTGATTTGGCCACCTTAACAGGTGCAATAGGAGTAGCTCTTGGTATAGGTAAATATGCTGGAATTTATACTAATTCCGATAAACTATGGGAACAACTTGCTGAGGCGGGAAAAATTGCAAATGATCCTTTATGGCGCATGCCACTTGATGATTTCTATTTAAAATCTATGACTAAATCTGATGTAGCAGATTACATTAATTCTAGTGGTAATAAATATGGAAGTTCTTGTAAGGCTGCTATTTTTCTTAAAGAATTTGTATATGGACTAAGTGATGAAGGAACTGTAGGCAGGGATATTACTGATACTGAAAAAGGGAAGGATTATGGTATAATTGAGGGAAATATTATCGATAAAGATGCTGATGAACTTAATAAGATTAGATATGCTCATATTGATATGGCATGTATTATGAATGCTAGTGAAGACTCTTATTATAATGTTAAAGGAGCAACTGGTATGTCAAATATACTTTTTGTATTCGTATAGGTAAAGGATAATTTTTAATTTTTCTTTTTTATTAAAAATTTATAGGGCGCCCAGCTCGTTCTATAATCGAATTTGCTAGAAAACTTTCTAGAGTTAGATAAGCTTTGTTTTTTTTTGTTTCAGAAAATTAAATTGGTTTTAATATTGTAAAGTAAATTACATATTAATACTATTAACTGAGAAATATTTATAACTTAGAATTAAATTTGGCTATTTAATTTTTTTTAAGATCTGTATCATAATCGCATAGTTGCAATTATCAAAAAGAAAGAACATAGATGAAATAGCAACAACAATGGGTAACATCACATCATTATAATTGTTAGAGTGCTTTGCATCAAAATAGCAATATAAGTTTCAATGTTGTGGCTAGCATCACAAGTAGTATTTTTAACTCAAGAAGGGTAATAAGAACCAGTAGTCTCTGAATTTTTGGTTAATTTCCAAGATTTTTTTAGGTCTGTTAAATGCAGAGATATTTTCATTACTCTGTTCACCAATCTTAACGGCTCTAGGTAAAATCTGATGCATAATTCAAGATTTCAGATGTTGAATCATAATCCATAAGCAAGTAAATCTATTACAGTCAACTCTCTCTAAGTGTACCCCCTTAGGACCATAATGAAAATTTGAAAAAACGTGCATTTAGAGAGGGAATGCATTTAGAAAAGGAAATTTTATATGATCTCTATATACTTGGGACTGAGTAAGAGGGTGCATTTAGAGAAAAAATATATAATACGTGCACTTAGAGAGAGTGCATTTAGAGAGAATTGACATACCTTAGTCTCAATTCTGAATCTATTCACTTTTCTAAATAGAACTGGAATAAATATATTGTCAAAGCAATGTTGAAAGGGGGTTTTCTTGGTTGATAATAAATATATGATTTGGATTTTAAATTCAAGATAAAATTTTGTGATTATCATGGTGATTTTTTTTAATATACTTAATTTTAATATATAAAAATTTAAGGTATTTTAGGTATTTTTTTTATTTTAAAAAGTAAGAAAATTCAAAATTAAAATTTAAGTAAATTAACATTATAAAAAATCCATTTATTTAAGCATTTTTAATAGCAAAGTAAAGATCTATTTTTAATATAAAATTTTACAAATTTTGCATATATCAAATCATTATTATTATAAAATTTTATAATTTAAATAATAAATTTTTAATTATCTTAATTATCTTCAAGTTAGAAATTTTTTATAATTAAAATATTTAAATAATAAATTACAAATCATATTTTTTTAGTAATTTTATCTATAATTAATAATAAAATATACTTTGAAAAAGTATTTATTTTAATTTTTATTATTATATTTTATTCTTCATATAATAATAAAATTCATTTTATCAGAACTCTAGATATTTAATATATGAATTATAATTACCTTTTAGCTAAAATCACCTTTTTTTGCTAAAATTCAAAAAATTATTTTTTGTAAATATCTTAGCATTTGATAATTCAATTTTTATAAATAAAGGATTTTAAAAACTTATATAGTATAATTAAAAATATATTTTTTAGGTAAAATTAAAATATTTAAATAGTAAAATTAAAAAAAATAAAGATTTTTTTCAGAAAAAAAAAAGAAATATACTTTATATATTAAAAAAAAGCACTGTGATTTACATTATAAAATAAGATTTAGATTAATTCAATAAAATTTATATTTATCAACATAAGTATAATAATATTATTATATAACATTATAATGCTTTATTTAAATTTTTATTAAACTTAAATTAAGCTATAATAAATTTATAAATTAAACTTTTATTATTTTTTTTCTTATCCAATTTTATTTATCTTCATTTTTTCATTTTTTAATTTTCTTTTTTATATAAAACCTTTTTATTAATATTTTAAAGATGTAAAATAATAAAGATAAATGATTTTATAAAAAATTAAAAGCAAATTTTACTTATAAAAAGCCTATTAATAGTGAGATTTATAATTTTATTTACAGTAATTGATATAAAATACTGATTACTTAACTTCAAAGTTCAAATTGGATACAAACTTTTATGTAATGGGAAAAAAAAATAGTTCTAAATATCATATTTCTTCAATTAATAATTGCATATTTGTAATAAATAGACATTTAAATAATAAGTCTGTTCTTTCAAAATTTATCATTACAAATTATAGTAGATTTTAAGTAGTAATATGGGTGCTTTACAGTAGAAAAGGATGAAACTACTAAAAAAAATAAAAAATGAGTTAATATAAAATCTGAACAAATTATAGCATTTAGAATATTTTTGGCATATAAAAGAAAATTTGAATTTTTTTAGTAGTTTTGTCCCTTTCTACTGCAAAGTGCCCATATTAAGAGTTTTATAAGTTAAGATTATAGAAATATAACAGTACTAATAGATTTACTGAATATGATCTTCTTTAAATTCTTGATTATAGTGTTCTGTACAAATCAATTTATGATATAATGTGACCCTAATTGCTCTTGAAAGGTAAAAATGTATTTTATGAATAACTTTAATCGAGCAGTTCAATTTCAATGATTTTTTTTATTTTGATTAAGATAATGAGAACTATTGATTAAAAAAAAAATCATTGAAATTGGATAACTAAATCCTGAGATAATCATTTTTAGAAGTCAAATTAAGTTCAAATCAAATTCAAATTGAATCAAATTTTAGAGGAAAAATTTGATTCATGCGAAATACTACTTAATATCTGACAAAAATCTTATAAGTTTATTATACAGAATTTTTTTTTTAATGCTATTTTTTATAAATTAAAAGAAAAAAAACATTTCAATTTGTAGTTTCAAATTTTTATATAAAGAAAAAACAAATATGGCAGATTTAATATTATTATTTATAAATCAAAAGTACCAATAATATTGAATTTCAAAATGATAAATTATACATTTTTAAAATACCTAGTTACGTTTCCACCCCCTTCTATTTTTTAAAAAATTTGAAATTTAATAAACATATATTAATAAATACTTTATTTTTGAAAAAATTTAAAAGTTAATAAATATATAGTAATAAATATTTTCTTTAAATTTTGCCTGAAATTTTCAAATTTTTCTATATTTATTTGTTTAGTTTGTTTAACTTAAATCCTCCTTCCCCCTTAATTTTTTCAAAAGGTCTGAATATTAAACAAATAATTAAATTGGAACAGCCTAATATGGATAACATAGATATATGGATTATTCATTCAATTTTTTTAAATTATCTGTATCTGAATTTAATTTTTATATGGATTATAGATATAGTAAAAGTGGAGTGTTAATTTACAATTATACGGATTTTGCAAAGTAAAGAAAAATGACTTAATACAGAAGTTACGAAATCTAAAATAAAAAGACATAAAGCTGTTATTGTCTCTGAATTTGAATTTGCTCTTAAAGAATTTATCTTATATTATCAGCATAAAACAATTATAAATAATGCTATATTAATTGAATATTAGCTAATAAACTGAAAGTCCTTAAAGGAATACTTTCTTTCATTTTATTGCTTTTATTTTATTTTATTTAATGTTATTTAACTTTTATTTATTTAATTTTCCAATAGATAGCTTCAAAATTTTAAGGAATACAATGGTATTTATTAGGTAAAGTTTCATGAAGAAGCAGATTCTGCTAATGAAAATGCCATTGCTGAAGCTTTGCCATTATTATAAAGTAAATGTGCTGAATATTCTCCTAATCGAATTTATAATATGAATGAAATAGGGTTTTTTTATTGGTATTTTTTAAAATTTTATAAAAATACTGGTTATATTATTTTCTTATATTAATATTTTAAATTAGAGCCAGATCGAACATTAACTACAAATAGCTTTCTGGATGTAAAAAAAGTAAAAAATGCCTTTCAATTGCTTTATATGCAAATGCTGATAGTTCATATAAGTTATCTCCTTTAATAATTGATAAATATGCAAATCTATGATACTTTAAACATATTAATATTTGCAATTTACCAATAACTTATAGAAGTAATGCTAAAGCCTAGATGCTAGTATTAATTCTTTTTTAAAAGTAGTTTCAAGAATTTGATCATTTAGTTGGTATAAAACACAATAGAGAATGTATTTTATTACTACTTGATAATTGTACAAGCTATAAGATAAGTAATCTGGTTCTTGAAAATGTTGAAGTTTATTTTTTACCTTCTAACATAACTTCAAAACTTTAACCAATGAATTCTGGAATAATTATGTTTTTTAAAAAACATTATTGCCATCATCATATTCAATAAATTAAATTTTTATTGTTTTTATTATGTTATAAATTTTTTTTTTTTTATTTAGATGGATGTTAGAACAAATTAAAGCTGGCCAGTTTATATAAGATTTGAAAATGAATATCTTACAAGCGATTTAATATATCATATAAGATTAAAATGAAGTTACAGTATCTACTATTAAAAACTGTTAGAATTATGTCAAAATTCTTTCAGATACTTTTGAAAATAATATTAATAATGATGATATTGATGATGAACTTAGTAAAGCAATTGAAGCTCTTAATTTACCTAATATGATGCAAATAAAAGAATTTTTAACCATTCCAGAAGAAAATATAATTTATAAAGTTTCTAATATTTCAAAATTTGCAGATATGTTTAAGAATGGACCTACAAATCATCCAGATAAAATAGATGATAGTATTGAGATTTGCATCAATAATACATCATGAAGTTTAAAAATGGTAAATTTATTTTTACTTTAGCAAGAAAATTCAAAGTAAACAAATAAAATTATTAGGCAAAATTGAAAATTTTATTAAGAAAAAGCGGATTAATTTAATATAACAAATTACTATAGATCAATATTTTAAATGATTATTTTAATTTTGTAATTTTCTTATAATTAATTCCTAATAAATAATACATTTATATATAAATTACATAATTGGTTCAATTCTATAATTGCACATTTTCTCTAAATGCATACTCATACCTGATCTCAAGGGTATGCAATTATAAAAAGTTGACAGTATTAAATTTTTATTATAGATATATATTTATAGATAGATGGATACACGAATCCAAATTCTAAATAATAAGCCATTAAAAACTAAATAATGCAAATTAGTAAAAATTATCAATTTTACTATAAAATATATTAAAAAAAACCTAAAGAAAGTTAATATAATTTAATTTTTTATTTTATTGATCAAAATAAAGTTACTTATTTAGAAAAAAAAAGTACTGTAAAATCTCGAATTTAAGCACCCCCTTTTTGCAGTCATGTGATAGACAAAATTGGTAATGATGCTTAATTTTGATTTTACTATTAATTTTTTTAATCAATGTACATCAACGTACATCTTACCCTATTTCTTTCAAAAATTCTTCACACGTTTTAACAATATTTCTAGTAGAAATGACACGTAAAAAAGTGGGTGTAAGACAATGTCACTGATCAAAATCAAAAAAATCGGACATATGGAAAATCAGCTAAAAATCAGACCAAAATCGACTGACATTACAAATCGGCACATCTGATTGATGCCAATCGGACAATTTAATAAAAATCCAGCAAAAAATCATCATATTTGATTGACGGCTAATTGATGCTAGTTGAAATCAAAAAAAAAATCAGACAAAATGCGCAAATCAACCTAAAATTTGCCCAATATTCAAATATGTACTTCAGATTTATGGAAAATTGGAAAATTGACAATTCAATAAAAATTTGATAAAAATTTGATAAAAATTCAGCAAAAATTCATCATATTTGATTGACGGCTGATTGAGGCTAGTTAAAATCAAAAAAAAAAATGGCAAATCAGCCTAAAATTTGCTCAATATTGGCTAAAATTACAAATTGGCACTTCTGATTTGTGGCATACTAGTTGAAATAAGATATATTCGACATTGAATGATTTATGGTCAAATCTTTTCATATTATTTGATATATGTTATTTATGATTGAATTGTACTTTCTTACTTTGATTTATTAGAAATTTGCTCATATTTCAATTGGGTATCAATCAAAATTAAACTATTTAAACTATTATAACAATTACTATTTGCTGATCAATTATAATAAGACGCGACGCGTATTGTATTAAAAGTATAATTTTAGCTTTAAGATTACTTTTTTTTTGCTTCTTTTGGATAAATATTAAACCTTTTAACCTTTTTTTTTCTCAAAACAAAATATTTCTCTTTTATTGCTCTATGGTTTAAATTGGGAATTGATAAAAGAATTTCAATTTTTTCCGATTTAATAAATATCAGTATGCTGGTGTTGAAGAAAACAAAAGTTTTTTTTATTCCAAGCATTCCGATTTACTGTAATGAAATGAAAATAATAAAAAAATATTTTTTTTTTATTTTTTTATATCATTTGTAGGTTCTGGCATTCCGATTTAATGAAAATATTCTTTATTTGTACATTATATCGGTATGCTGGTATCAAAAAAATATCTTTTTTTATTATTTGCAGGTTCCAATGTTCCGATTTAACGACCCATTTTGTGGATGGATATTGGTATGCCGGTAATAATAATTTTTTTTTTATTTCTGGCATTTCAATTTAATAATATTTTTCCTTATTTATTATTAGATCGGAATTGTTTCTCTTTAGCTTTCAAATCAGCTAAATCAAATGGAGGAGGTTTGGAGTTAAGCGAGTAAAAAATTATTCAAAATGAAAAAGGAAATTGTATGAACAAGCAATTGGAGCAATCGGCAAAATACCGGAATGTTTTTTCTGCAAAATATTTTAATAAATGCAAAAAAAACGCCTAATTTTTAACGATAGATTGATATGCCAGTATTTCCAAAAACCAGCTCTTTTTTTGTTGATCAGATAGATCATCGGATATCCATCTTTTTTTTATAAAAAAAAATTCCAATCTTTTTTTTATTTTGTAGGGACCTTCCGGACACCATTTAACATTCCGATCCTCATGCGAATGGTGGAAAAATTCATTTAGGACAACCTCAGAACTAACGAAACGGCACTTAGAAGGTATTAGAGAGAAGGGATTATTTTTTAAATTGGAGCGTTAGTATACATTTATTAACGTTCCACCTTCTTTTTTTTTTATTATAGACCCTCAAGACGCTTCGTAATTGACAAAACTTCTCAGAAAGTAAATAAAGAGAGAAGTTTTTTTTTTTAAGTTATGAACGTTAGTAGATATTACTATTAAACGTTCCAATTTCTTTTCACTTTTAGGAACCTTCCGGAGACTTGGAAGGAGGGTAAAGCCCTGAAGAATTTTTATTTTATTTAATGCGGAACGTTAGGTAACTAACGTTGTTTTTTTTCTTTACAGGCCCAGGACGCCGCTGGACTCCATTTCGAAGGTATAAACCTTCAAAATTTTTTCTTAGTTTTATTTAACAAACATTAGCTAATGTTCATTTTCTTGTTTTTTATAGGTACGGAATGGTTCCATTTCAAAGGTAAACTTCGGAAAAAAAAAATCTTTTTTTTTAACGAACTTTCTCTAACGTTCGTTTTTCTTATTTTTTTGTAGGTCCAGAACGCCGAATGTACGGTTCTAGACTCCATTTCGAAGGTAACTTCAATCATAGATATTTATTTTTTTTTGTTTTATTTTAGCGAAACGTTGACTAACGTTTTGATTATTTTCTTTTTTTTTAGGTTTTGCTCTCCGGTTTCCGTATATCTGGATGGAATTTCGAAGGTACCTCTTCGAAATTCTGATTTTTTTTTTGTTATTTTATTTGAACGAAACGTTGACTAACATTTCAGTTTTCTTTTTTTTTTAGGTNAAAAAGTTTTTTTTTTTTGTTTATTTGTGTTTATTTGATGAACGTTAATTAATGTTCGTTCTTATTTTTTTGTAAGTCCAGAACGCGAAGAAAGATACAGGTCCCAGACTCCATTTGAAGGTAACTTCGAAAATATTGTTTTTATTTAACACAAAACGTTACTAACGTTTCATTTGGTTTTTTGTAGGTTTTCAGTTCTTCTGAATGGAATTTCGAAGGTAAAACTTCGAATATTTTAATTTTTTTTATAATGAACGTTAGATAACGTTCATTTTTCTTGTTTTTTTTTTGTCCAGAACACCGAATAGAGTTTTTTTGAATAAATAATTTTCTTAATGAAACGTTTCTAATGTATCATTTTTTTTCTATTTATAGACGGCCGGTTCTTCGATATTTGGACGACTCGTCAGAAGTTTGGTGAGGGATATTTTTTACTAGTTATTACTTTTAATTAATTCATTTAACGAAGCGTTTTTTACTAACGTTTCATTTTACTCTTTTTTTTAGGCGACCAGCCTTCGTGTCTATTAACGAGAGTATTTGAATATATTAATGAAAATATGGCGAATATTTGGCACGCAAGATTTTGGTATAGGAGCTATAGAAGTAATTTAAAGGTGAGTTTTAAAATGTAAATTGTTGGTGAGTTTTTTGCTTAATTTTTTATTAATTCTTTTTGTTTTTTATTTTTTAGGTTAAAAATAGCGAGTTTAGAATGATTTATTATAGGTATTAATATAGCATAGGTGTGTTTTAGATTAGAAAGGTAGACATATTAATTAAAGAATATATATTAAATGTAATTTTTAATAACAATGTAATTTAAAATGTCTAATAAAATTGAATAAAATTAAAACTAAATTTGGAAAAATCATCCACATTCAATCTAAAATTCAGACAAAATTCAGACAAAATTCAGACAAAATTCGAAAAAAATCATCTAAAATTTGCCATAATTCAGACAAAATTCAAACTAAAATTGCTATAATTCAGGCAAAATTTATCTTGATCTGAAAATATTTTTTAAACAATTCGAATCAAAAATTACTAAACAATTCGGATACAATTCTGACATTCTGATCGGCATCGATCGGCCTGCCAATCGGAACTTTTTTTGGATTGATAATTCGGCCATCTTTATCACCAAATTCAGCCTAAAATCGGACATCTGATTTCTAGCCGATTTGGACTATTTCGACCAGTGTGTACATCATATTCACTTGAAGAAAAATTAATAGTAGTTAAGTATGTCCAAGAAAATAAAAGAAATGCTGCAGCAAAGCATTTTAATTTAGATGCACCTATGGTAGGAAGATGGATAAGACAAAGTTCTAAATGGGAAGAGGAAAATAAAAAGAAAAAACGTTCTGAAACTCCAGGAAGAAAAGCCTTTTATCCTAAAGCAAAAAAGATTTTATACAGTTGGATAATAGAATAGCGGAAAAAAGGGTTTACTGTTAATTATATCTCCATAAGATTACAAATGTGTAAAATTCTTAAAGAATCTTCAATTCAAGCATTATATCTAGCGGAAGAGTATGAATTCCAAGGGAATCTTTCTTGGATTAATTCTTTTATGAAACGATTTGGATTGTCATTAAGGAGAAGAACCAAAATTTTTCAAAAATTGCCTGAGGATTTAGAAGAAAAATTAGATGAATTTAGACGATATATTATAAGACTAAGAACACTATATAATTTTAATTTGAATAGTATTTTTAATATGGATGAAACTCCTGTATAGTTTGACATGGCAGGAAATATAACTGTTAATAATAAGGGTGATAAAACAGTGCATATTCGTACTACTGGAAATGATAAAAATCATTTTACTGTAGTTCTAACTTGTTCTGCAGGTAAGAAGTTTTATTTTTTTATTTTTTAATTATTTTATATATCAAATTAATAAGTTCATTGTATTTATTTATAGATGGAACAAAATATCCACCAATATGTATTTTTAAAGGTAAACAACTTCCAATATGTGAAGTTATTCTAAAAGGTGTTATTTGTTAGTTTCAAGATAAAGGTTGGATGACTTCAGACTTAATGAAGAATTACATTGATTTTTTATTTAAAATTTGGATGTCTGAAAATTTGTCAAAAGAACCTGCTATAATGTTGTATGATTCTTTTCGTGGTTACTTGGAAGAAAGTGTTAAAGCTAAATTTAAAGAACATAATTTTCAATTAGCTGTTATTCCTGGAGGATTAACTAGTGTATGTCAACCATTAGACGTATCAATAAACAAACCTTTTAAAGATAATTTATGAAAAGAATGGTACAAATGGATGTGTAAAAGTGGTTCAAGTAAAGCTCCGCATGAGCTGGCTTGAGCCGAGCCACAGTCTGGCTCGGCTCAGCTCGAAAAAAAAAATTCTGGCCTGAGCCAGAATAAGCCGAGCCATAAAAATTTCGGCTCAAGCTAAAGTGAGCCGAGCTGAGCCATGATTTTTATGGCTCGAGCCAAGCCAGGCTCGAGCTTTATCTTCAAAAAAACGTTTCGCAACATTTTTTTCTAAAATAATATTGTGAAAAAAATGTTTTCGCAACGTTTTTTTATTAAAGAACTTAAAAAAACGTTGTGAAACATTTTTTTCTAATATAATATAGTGAAAAAAACGTTTTTGCAACGTTTTTTTATTAAAGAATTTAAAAAAACATTGCGAAACGTTTTTTTCTAAAATAATATAGTGAAAAAAACGTTTTCGCAACGTTTTTTACTAAAGAATTAAAAAAACGTTGCGAAACGTTTTTTTTAATATAATATTATACAAAAAACGTTTTCGCAACGTTTTTTGTATGATAACTCAAGCCAGCTCGAGCTTTTTGAGCTGAGCCTATTACTGGCTTGAGCTTTTTGAGCCGAGCCTATCACCGGCTCGAGCTCATTTCAAGCTAGCTCGCGAGCCACTAAGCCAATTTAATCGTGGCTCAGCTCGGCTCAGATTGAAAAGCTTGAGCCAGCTCGTGAGCCGGCTCAGCTCATGCAGAGCTTTAGGTTCAAGTGTAACTGAAGGGGTAACTTAAAAAAAGCAAGGATAAGTGAAGTATGTGGATGGGTCAAACGATCTTGGAATGCCATTTCAGATCAAATTATTTTTAATTCATTTAAAAAATGTTCTATTTCAAATTTATTGGATGGGTCAGAGGATAATATAGTCTATGAAGAAATTAATAGATTGATTGCTGAGTATGAAAAAGGAAATTTAGAAGAGTTAGGTGATGATGTTGAAATTGTCTGCAATTAAATAACCAAATAAAAAATTTTCTTACATTCATTTCGATATTGTCAATAAGTTTATTGTCATAGTTCGGCATAATCTCATCACATTTAATTCGAAAAATCCAAAGCTGTTCTTAATACAAAAGAAAATATTAAAAAAAATTCAAACTTAAATTAAACAAAAAACAACTATCTAATTTACCTTTCAGTCCATTTAAGTTCCAAGAAGTTGGGTCCGCTGGTGTCCTTAAAAATGAAGAAAAGAAATGTTAAAGCTTAGAACATTTCTTATTTACATTTCTTAATCTATACCCTTTCCCTTTTTAATTTACCATAATATTAATTAAGTCCGTTCATCAAAGTTGTCAGATATTCCCACAATAAGAAAAATAATTTTTTCA